TATGTAATAAAATATCCTTAGGCAATCCATCATAATGATAGATATTATCAAAAAAAATCTTAGCCATTTCTTTACATATGATAGATTTTGTATGTAATATAAAATATGCCATCTTGGTAAAATAATCTACCACCACAAATATAAAATCATACAAATTTGAGATTAGAAGATCTATGATAAAATCCATAGAAATAAAAAAAACCATAGTTGTTCTAGAATAGGTAATGACTAAAGAAGTCCATAAGATTGATGGCAAGGAGTTTTTGATTTGAATAAATATCACATGATTGTACAAAGTCTTTGACTGCCTTCCTTATATGAGGCCACCAAAAATCTCTTAATATTAGCTTCAAAGTCTTTTGTATTCAAATTATTTGGCTACTAAAAAGTCATAACAAGATTGAAGAACATGTTATTATGTCCCATCTTTTGAAATATATAATCATCTCTCAAAATAGAGTAGGTTGTTTTTGAACTCAAACTTAAAAATATCTTGAGATTTAGAAGAATTATTCTTAATATCATAGACAAGAGGATCAAAAGACATATTTGAGTGAATTTTCTTGATAAAGGTTGAATCAATAGTCAATGTTGATTTGATTGCTTGAAGATGAAAATACTTTGGCTTCAAAAGAATTATTCTTTATTGATCAAAAGATACATTTTTTTTTTTTATATATAAGGTAAGAACTTCTAGAAAAGGCGTCTGACAAACCTTGTTATTTTTTGGATTGATAGATAATCTTGAAATCAAATCTTGATAAAGATATATTCCAACAAGCTTGACAATAATTCAAAATACATGCCAACATAAAGTACTTGAGGTTCTTGTGATTTTTACATATGATAATTGAACTCAAGGTACCTTTTAGATAATGATGCCATTCTTGAAATGAATTTATGATTGCAAAGAGTTTTTTCTAATGGATTTTATAATTAATTTTGACTGCTGAAAATTTTCTAAAATAAAAAGCTACTTTATGGAGTTTTTTATCTGCTCTCATTTATGACAATATTAAATCCAAATCAAAGTCTGATGCATGTATTTCCATGAAAAATGCCTTAGAGAAGTCAACACAATATAAGATTGGTGTAAAAATAAACTCTTTTTTTAAAGCATCAAACGATGCTTTGACTTCTTTATTCCACTTAAGTTTGCCTTTACAAATAAAATGTGTAAGTGGAGTTGCAACTTGAAAAAAATTCTTAATGAAGATCCAATAGTAATTGAAAAAGTTCAAAAAGCATTGTACATCTCTTACTGTTCTTAGAATCTTCCAATCTATCATAATTTAGATCTTTTTTGGATCCATCATTAGTCCTTTATTGAAAATGATGTATCTTAGGAAGTCAACTTGAGTAGTGTGGAATACATACTTTTTTAACTTAGTATATAATCTTGCATCTTTAAATTTTTGTATCACATGACAAACATGAATTTCATGTTCTTTTATATTTTTAGAGTAGATTAAGTTGTTGTCCAAATAATAGATGATAAAATCATCAAGAAATTTTTAAAAGACATCATCTATTAGATGTTGAAAAGCAACTAGTGCATTTAAGAGTCTAAAAGCCATGAAATTATATTCAAAATGCCCATATCTAGTTCAAAATGTAATTTTCTATTCATCTCTTTTTTTAATGTATACAAGCTTATATATTCCTTGTAGATCTATTTTTATATAGATCTTTGCTTGATTGAGTTGATCAAAAATTCCTAAAATGAAAGGTAGAAGATACCTATTTTTTATTGTAATCTTGTTGAATCCTCAATAATCTATATACATTTGCAGAGATTCATTTTTTTCTTCATAAATTAGATAGGAGCTCTAGTTGGAGATTTAGAATGACGTATGAAGTTCTTAGCCAAATTCTCATCAATGTACTCTTTGAATGTAGCCAGCTAATTTTAAAATAAGTTATAGATTGGTCGAAATGATAGTTGAATTCTTTCTTGAAGATCAATGGAATAAACATAGAACAATGCTTTAGAAGAATATCTCCATTCTTTTTTTTTAAAAATGTCATAGAAATCTAGATACTAAGTTGGAATACTACTTGATATCTTATCACTATTAAAAATGGGCATGGTATATATATCAAAAAATGACCCTTCTTTTGTGGCATTCATGAAAGCTCTCGCATCTACCAATAAGGATTTGGATGTATCAGACTTATATATTTTTACTTGATTAGAAAAATTTTGATTTAAATTACCAAAAAATTAAGATTACAAAAAATCCAATCTATCTTAGGATTATATTTTTTTAATAAAGATAATCTTAAAATAATTAAATTACATAGAGATCATATTATATTTAATATTACTATGTTATTATGATCTTTAATTGTTACATCTAAAGGAACAATTTCATGCATAATATCTCTAAAAGATAGCAAACAACCATCTATGACTTCTCCATATATAAATTTAATTTTCTTGACTAATGATATTTCTTATTTTTTGACAAAATCTTTATTTATAAAATAGATTGAGGCTCTTGAATCTAACAAAGCTAAGACTTTGTGATTTTTTGGTCCTAAATAAAATTCTATTATAAAACAAAATAAAGGGTCTAAGAAGAAAATAAGATCTTTACTATGAGCTATGCAAGATTTTAGTTGCACAGTCTCTATTGTAGATAAAAAAACTCGTTTTTTGACATATTGTCTTGTTTGGCAACCATGCTTGTCATTTTGTGGTTGCTTTGTTTTTTTGGACAATGTTGAAAAGTGTGTTTAGTTTTTCTACAATATAAGCATAAATCCTCTTAGTATCATGAAGTCTTTTTTTTGCTCTGTGAGGAGTTTAAAACATACCTTATTAATTTGAATTGATTTTGGCCTTAATGAATAAATTTATGAAAACTTGAGAGCTATCGTCATTATTTGACTTATTCTTCTTCAGCCAAGTCTTTGTTTTTGACATCTTTCAAATAATCAATTGTCATATGTAATAGCTTGAGCAATAAATTATTTCAAAGATTGTGCCTTTAATATTGTCAATAATAAAAATTTCACATAATCCTTCAATTCATATCAAAATTGATTGATATTGGATTTTTTATTCCAATCCATGTCGCAAGCAAGGTTTTGGAATTCAGTAGCATATATGGTGGCTTATTGTGATCCTTACTCTAAAGATAAGAACTTGATCTCTACTACTCTTTCTTGATTACTTTTTCCAAATATGGTTGTAAAAACTTCTAGGAATAAATTCAAATCATAAAGGAGCTACAAATTCTTTTCTATTAAAGGTGTTAAGTAAGAGAGAGCACTCTAAATAGAAGTGCACCTATAAATCCAAATTAAGTAAATCCATCAAAGTATTGGAAGAGATGCAACTTTAGATAATGCTTGATTTATTACAAAAATCTTCAAAATTTTGATCTTATTCCATCAAACTCCTTAGGCATACTAATCCTTGATCCTATCATACTTGTAGAAGTAAAACTTATTAGATTTGGTTGTAAGCTTGATCTACTTACTTCCTTCAATTATACTTCTTGATGCAGACTCTAAACTTCTTCCATAGGCATGGGAATAATACCTCCATGATTTACATTGCAAATACATGAGATTTTTATTCTTAGAATATTGATAAGCTCATGAAGATTTGCAATAGTTGCAAATCTATGTTCACTTCCATTGAGAGTAGCATCCATAATCTTTCCTTCCATAGACAGCTCAAACAAATTCAAAAGTCAAATTAAAAGAGGGTAGTCTACAATCTCTAATATCAAATGAAAATTTCCACAAAGAGGGATAATCCACTCTTTTTAAGAAAAAAATCAGTGTTAGAAAATAAGATTATTTATTTAAAGGTGGATAGTCCATAACTTTCAAAATACAACAATAGAAATGGGATAATCCTCTCATTTTTATAACAAGACAGAAATTGGAAGTTATATATATTTAGAGCTTCTAAGAAGCTTTTCTAAAAAATAATATGAAATAAATTTACTTTTACCTACTTCTACTTAATCATATAGGTATATATTAGAATAAATATGTATGTCCATGACACATGTCCTTTGAAATAATATCCAATTCTAGCCTATATCATAGTAATGTCTCTAAAACAAATCATGTTTTTGATGTTGAACACCTATGAACTATCATTGTCAAATAAATATTTTTTTATGTACTTTTAGACTCCAACATTGCTTCTAAAAAGATAAAAATAATAATAATAATATCAACTAAAACATTGAAAATAAAATAAAATAAAAATAGTTTCATATTTTAATACAAACAAAACAAAGAAAAAAATAGTTGATTGAAGAATCATATTCACGATGCAACTAAAACAAATAATTAATTGAAAAATCTATTTTTAAAATGCTACCAAAAAGATTTTTTCTTTGAGAAAAAAAATGCTCAATATGCTAATAATACTAGACACATCTCTCTTTTATATATAAAAAATTTACTCTTGTACATAAAAAAAATAAATGAATAAAAATAAAACTGTCACAAATCCTTTTTAGTAAAATATGTATGTATTTATCTACATATTTATATATTAACCAGAAATTTTTATTGAATGTTTCAAAAGTATTCTTTGATTATTTATTGTGTGGTATTAATAAAACATATGCTTATAAAACTCTTGGCTACATTGTTTATTAAGTCATGTAACCCTAGACCCTAAACTGTAACTGCTAAAGTTTTCCTTTGATAGTAGGGATACACTAAGATTTCTGTTTAGCAAATGGTGTTAACTCATGTTTTGGATTTTGCTTTTTATCAAACATTGTATCCGATGTGTGTATGTTTGAGCGATGGTAAGATGGTCTCCATCAAAGCTTCACCTGGTTTCGACCTATGTCCTTACATCATGCAAGGCTTCATTTTCCTTAGTAGCTAAGATGAGCAGTTCCTGAAGAAATGAATGCTTCCAACCTTCGTAGCACAAGGGTGGGCTAAAATGAGAATGCGGATACAATACTGAAGGAAACGAAGTAGATGATGTCGACCCGACTCCACACAAATACAGGTATGGTTGATCCGTTTAAATCGATTTTGAGATAATATCCAGCCGAACACGTTTAGATTGAACAAAGCCAACAACTCGGCTCCCTTTCGTAATGAATAATCCTAAAATGGCCCGGTTTCCAAATTTCTATAATTCTTAATACCATTTTCAATGACATGCCTTCTACCTGTACGTGCCAGCATCATAATGTCATGCTTCTGTCTTCATCATATTCCCGATCAACAAGCCCATAGTTGCATTCAGAAGAATGCCTTTTTCTGGTCACAAACATTGACAAAAAAACGCAGTCCTGCTTGCACTATTTTACAGCCTGCTCGTCCCTGAAGAAGCTAGCACTAAACTAGTTGGTGACCTCTGCAGTAGCCTTCTCTGAATTTTTGGAGCTGCTAAGATGGCTAAAGCCAGGGTGGGGTTTTTGTTGGCTGAATGCAGGGTGGACGGGAGGGCCACCAGTTGGCTCTACGTGCACCCATTTGCGACCTGTCAAAGGATCTTTCGCAAACTTTACCTGCCCACCCGCAAGTGCAAACAAGGTATGGTCTCGGCCCATGCCTACAAAATCGCCCGGATGAAACCTAGTGCCTCGCTGCCGGACAATGATATTTCCCGGTATTACCTTCTGCAAGAACAGAGGAAAATTCAATATGAGTTGAAGTGTTCGAAGCTGTACACATCACATAAAAATTGGAGGAACGAGGCTCAAGGCGTGGCTATGTCGTAGACAAAACCGCGCAAAATCATTGCGAAATCAAAGAGCAACCTACCCTAAAAAAATTTAAATTCAGTCGTTGCATGAGTAAAATCAAAAATGCTAAATCAATCACGTGCCGAAAGAAAGACACATGACAATAATGTTCTAATTACATGTACAGCAAGAAAAATTGATTTTCTACGAGAGAGAGAGTTGAGGAGATAGCAAAATAAAAAGACGAAAAAAACTAACAAATTGTAGACCTACATATGGTTCAGACAGACGGCGGATCCTCTTACCTGTCCTCCATACTTCTTCACTCCAAGGTTTTTAGGTAAAGAATCGCGGCCATTCTGAGTCGAACCTCCGGCTTTCTTCGTAGCCCACCTTCTGAACAGCAAAGACGCAGCACCCACTCCTTCACCCCCTACCACCTCTGCCAAGTACAAACAAATTCACCGAATTTTCCAAAGCACGCATCCGAAATTAACGAAAAGAAAAACTCCCATACTAACCCCAAGGAGAGCTCTTTTTTCGCGTAATCGATCCACAGGAAAAATCAACTGCACTTGTCATTCTCTAGAACATAAACCTACGGTGTCTAACTCAAAAATCTCACAAAACCGAAAAGTAACAGCTGAAACATACCAGCGTTGTAGCTCGCGGGGCCGAGCGACGATGCAGCATCTACGAAGCGCTTAGCAAATTGTGCAACCCTGGCCATGATCGATCGATCGACTGGGCGCAGCAGACTGGAGACCTTGAAGAATTTGTACCCAATGAATTTTTTCGCAGGTAGACATTTAGGGTTTTAGCATCTTGCACTGTCTTGCTTCGAGAGTCCGGACACGAACGCCGTGGTTCATCCTTAGCCGACTTTTTTTATTCATCCATTTTCGGAGACCATTCCGTTTCAGAACTTGTTCACCTGTTCGGAATCTGCTCTTGAAGCTTTTGGACGTTTGGAATCTAGGTTTACTTATCCCACTATAATTTCCACTTGTCCTTCAGAATGTTTCAGTGTTCTTTGTGTGATCACTCCACAAATACATGATTTGAGGAGTTTGTTGTTAAATGAGCGATGCAGTTTGAACTTCCAGAGGGCTTTCTCTACTTGTATCAAAATGCATGGCTACTTCAATCAACGGGAAGCAAGTCGTTCTGTGTGTTTTTGTGAAGATCTCTCAACGCCATAAGATTCTGGTGTCTGATGTCTCAAGTTGTGCACATTTGTATTTCCATTGTGCAGTGGACAGTGATACCACGCTGAGCAACCGATGTCTGGGGAACAATATGAACGCCCCGGATGAGTTGATGCAAATTCATTGTAGAATGAAGCACAGGAGTAGCACTAGAAGAGACAAATAATTCCAGCATACTTTCAAAGTCTTCATGATGAAGCACAAGGGACACCAACACATTTCCCACTTGACTCTCTACAACAGCTTAAAATCTGGGGCTACTAGTGAGGACTTCAGGTAGAGATAAAGGCGCAAAATCAATGTGCTTCAAGGTTACATCTTATGCATGCGTTTGCAAAGCCTGTATTTAGTTTAAGCCTGCAAATTCCTGACACGAATTATCGAGGCAAAAGAATACTCTCACACAACATTCAAGAGCATGAACTATCGAACCCAGGACATTAAAAGACAGTGATCCTGAACTAGTTTCACACGCCACTGCAAACGCGAAGCTATCTGCAACCTATATTTTAGAGAATTACAAAGACATTTGATAAATTTGTATTCGTAGAGTTATAATCAAAGTTATCACTGCAATCTGAAATCTCGCAACCTATTATGGTGGTATACCTGAAGTTGCCGGACTGCCCACAGGAGGATAAAAATTGAGACTCCCAAGGCAAGCGCCAAATCTAAATGATATCTAGGTATCTTCAATCTCCTAATATCCGAGTTGAGGCATTCCAGGTAGTTCAGAGACGCCAGAGGGTTGCTTTACCTTATCAAACACAACGGCTTGGGTGCTTAGAACCATACCAGCAACGGAGGCAGCATTTTGTAAGGCACACCTGGTAACCTTTGCTGGGTCAATTACACCTGACTCTAGAAGGTTCTCGTATTTGTCTGACATTGCATTGTATCCAAAAGCCCACTCAAGATCTAATATCTTCTCGACCACTACATCGCCTTCCACCCCTGCGTTGCTTGCAATCAGCGATGCAGGTGCTAACAATGCCTGCAACCATTCCAAATGGGAAAAAGTACCCCTTCTCATCAGTACATAGTGCGTGTAAGCTACTGAAACCAATACCCATCTGATGTTAACTCAAATACATCCGAGATGTTATTTGATTGTAAGCAACGTGGCTAAATTAAAAAACCTTGGTAGTGAAACTCCTGACCTTTTGCACAATATCAGCTCCAAGCATCTCCTCAGGGTCTTGGAACGAGATTTTTATACTTGGCACGAAGGATGATAAATGAACAAGGGCCGCACCGCCACCAGGAACAATGCCTTCCGCGATGGCGGCAAAAGTTGCGTTCTTAGCATCCTCAATTCGTAGCTTCCGATCCACCAACTCTATCTCAGTTGCACCTCCAACCTGAGCAGCAAAACGTTCTCAGGTTAAAATTTTACCTCTTCCTGCAGTTGAAATTCAGAAATGATAGATGAAAAATCCCCTTTGAGCACCAAGATACATTTCAGAGTGAACAAAGATCTCCCAGTTTAATTTGGGCAAAAAGCCTGTAGTGAAAAATGAACGAATAGGATACTGCATCCAGATAGAATGCATCACATCATGCTTCCAAGTGACAGTACGATTGTGAAAGAATTGTTCAATAGCTAAATCATCTTTACCAGCTTCAGATCGTAAACAGTAATTACATGGTGATGTGGAAAAATGCCCGTGTTTCCATTATTATGTTATCAGAACAAGGGCATGGCTGCTGTAAATACCTTAATAACAGCAACACCGCCAGATAGTTTGGCAATGCGCTGAGAGAGCAACTGTGCTTCTCTAGAAGATGATGTCTCTGCCATTTCCTTCTTCAATTGAGCAACGCGGGCCTGAATTTCTTCTTTAGTTGCGTTATCAGAGATAATGATAGTTTTTTTATCAGAGATAGTAACTTTTCTGGCCACTCCTAACTGGTAGACGGAAGCGTCTTCCACAGACATCCCGAGATCCGAAGCTAAGAAGTCAGCACCTGAAGACAACTGAGCACAATGAAGACGACTGTAACAAAGACACATCGTATTCTCCACATCAAGACGTGTAAAACACACTTCGTTTTAAGATGTAGAGCTGGAACTGAGTTTCTACTTAGATTTAGACGAAAGACGAGCAGGTGATATTCAAATGAGTGATGAAAAACCTGTCAGAATTGCAATATCTTGAAGAAGCGCTTGTTTGCTGGGTCCATATCCATGAGCTTTGATTGCAGCCACTTTTACAATTCCTCGCAACTTATTCACTACCAATGTTGCTAGCGCTTCACCAGACACATCCTCCGCAATGATTAGAAGAGGAACATTCAACTGAGTGGTTTTCTCAATCATTGTTATGATCTCCTTGATGCTGGTAATAGGTGCATCTGTAACAAGAACCTTGCAGTTCTCAAACTCTACTAAAAGCTTCTCCTGATTGGTGACGAAATGAGGAGATAGGTAGCCCTTTTCAATCTACAAAAGGAGTGAAACTTACCAAGTCATCATCTTATCAGAGTACCTTGCAATTCATAGATTCTTGAGGCCCAGCAGATAAATATGCACCCCGGGTATAGTGGTGAACAAAATTTCATCCACTGGTAGAAATAGGTCAGTGAATCACAGAAGCAGCATGCGAAAGATTACGGTAGTAAGTTGCTGAAACAGTTCAAGCAATAATACCAGACTTACCTCCATGCCTTCCTCCACTTTGATTGTTGTCTCAAAAGAGGAAGAAGATTCGATTGACAAAACACCATCGGGCCCAACCTTCTCAATCGCATCGGCAATCATAGTCCCAACAAAATCGTCATTCCCAGCAGATATGGAGGCTACAGCTGTACAGAACATGTCAGAAGAATACTCTTATGTACTGATAGGACCAAACACCTGAAATATGAGCTAGTTATACTCACATGAACCTGACAAACGGATTCATTCATGATTCTACCTTTAATGTCATCACGGCCTTGCACCGGACGAGACTGCCTCTTGAGCTCCTCAATAAGAGCTGAAATCGTCTTGTCAATTCCTTTCTTAATAGCTATTGGATTGGCACCTGCACTGACATTCTGGAGCCCGAGTTTTATGAATTCCCTTGCAAGCACACAGGCAGTAGTGGTACCATCACCTGCAGAGTCATTTGTCTTGCTAGCAACCTGCAAACGTACAAAGAGTGAAGAAAATCTATGTCACTTACTTAATTTGAGTTCCACGAGTTATGACACAGCATTACTTCTAGTACTACGGACAGTTAAAAAACTCCAGTGTGGAGCATATGAAGGTTATAATAACAAAGTAAGAATTTCTGTTTAGACAAATTTGCAATTTACGTCATGGAACAAGCAGATCAAACAACTTAATGGGTAATCCTCCAAGTCAAACCGAATAAGCTTAATAAATGAAGAGGACATTAAGTAAATCATTTATGATTGACCCTGAGAAATTATGCAGGTTGAGAACAAGCTTGTATGTGCATTACCTCTCTGATAAGAGCTGCTCCCGCATTTTCTATTGAATTAGGAAGATCAATAGCACGTGCAATTGTGACACCATCATTTATCACCTTGGGTTCGCTAGGATCATCAAGAACCACATTACGTCCTGTACTCATATCAATCAAGCAACACCAAATTTTAAGTAGAAACACAGATGACCGCTTCATAACTTAAAGATCGTCACGCAGCGGGATGTTATCACTGTCCTGAGGAAAAGAAATAAAAGAAATAAAATAAAAAAAGAAAAAGAAAAAAGAAGAAGATTACGGCATCAACAAGTGCAACAAAAAACAGATAAAAACCTCCTAAATGTGAATTCTCATCATGCTGCCAAAAGACAATGAAAGAAGAGACCTAATATCACCTCGCGGCCCTAACGTAACACCTACAGCATCCGCCAGCTTGTCAATTCCTGCTTGAAGTGCTGATCGAGATTCTTGGTCGAAGAGAATTTCTTTAGCAGCAGATGTAACAACCAATTTACTATTGTTGCCCCTCCGATTCCCAAGATGGCTATGCCTAGGTACGGCAAATAGAGTGCAACGTTGCAAGTATGCAGTTATTCTCTGACTTTTCTTCAGCTGCATCCCCAGTATGTGGAAAAAATACAGAAAGCTACAAAGATAAGCACCACATCCGATATCAAATTGATAAACACTGCAAATACTCACACTAATGACTTCAATACCGGTATCTAGGTACATCCATCGACAAGAAAACGCGATTATCTGCTCTCGGATAAGACATGTTTGAACCAATATAAGGCGTGATTCCTTTCTGGGACAAGAACTAGGGCAAAATGTGCAAATTACACGTGAACTAAATTATTTCAGTATAATGAAATTTTCAAATAAGTTAAACTACAAAGGATAGAGATAAAAGATGGAAATTTTTTCAAGACCACAAACCTCAATTTGAGAGGCGGCGCATATCAGGGGGATAAGATTCAGCTCCCTCTTATCACACCCTGTCTTGTACCGCATACACCCCAAAACAAACGATGATGATTTTGCAGCCGCAACAGGCATGGGTTGCTGATAACATGCTGCCATTCGGAACCTCTCTTCGACAAGCTCCGATTGCAACCCACGAATTCCTCAACAATCACCTAAAAATCACTGTCGAACTACCAAGTCTGTAAGGGCGGAGTGCTGGCATTTGCTCAAAACATCATTTGTTGCCCATTCTCATTCAAATTAAACGCAGAAAATTGCTACAGAAAGACTAGTGGTGCATTAAAACGCTAATGTATGTGCCAATTATCAGAGCCTTGGACAAAGTCGCAAGAAATTCATGAACAGACAGAGATCAATCCGAAGTGCAACCGCAACGAACTTCTCACACTGCTGCGGAGCTTCTCTCGCGCAGGTTGTTCGAGACTTATACCTGTCTATATACCCGTCAGGGGTATCAAAGTTCATAAACAAGAGTATCAGCCTCGGAATGGAACTCCTCACACAGGGTATTAAGAAAACCAGATAGGGTATAAGTATGAGGTTCAAGCGGTCGTCTTCCCGCTCAAAGATGAAAGAGTGTTGAATCGTATTTCCTCACCGACAGAAACCCGTGGCATTGAGTAAAACATTTTTACTGATTTTGATTTTAATTTCTAGTTTTGCACAAGAGACATCTCTGGTGCTCTATTAAAAAAAAGAATATATATAGGAGAATGATAAAAAGATTCAGGATTTTACTAAATTTACCCACCCATTCTAATCATCATTAAGAAAAAAAATGACCTCTAGATTCATTTCTCTACTACTTAGATCTGAAACTAGTGAAAACCAATCACATTCATCATGATTTTCATATTCTTCATCATGGGTAGGTCAATTTAGTAAAAACCTCTATCTATTTTCCATACCTTATTGTGACCTAATTGTGACCTAATTTTTGTTAATGTAAATAATATATCTCCTTCAAAACCTTGGAAAGAAAGACCTCAACTTGTTGGCAATATCTTATTTGTTGTGATCCCAACTCCACAATACTAAATTAAATGTAGAGTTTACTTTATAATTATTGTGATTTACATGTTTTATCTAAATATTACTTATGATCAGATATTAAAGTTTACAGTTTTGTCAATGTGGTAGAAAATGGCATGTGCTTACTTGGGAACAGAATGAAATTATATTATCCTTTTCAAGTCAACATAATGTAGTGGAAAAATAACTTATATTTACTTGTCTTATATATTTTTATGCAATTTTAACTTGATGCATGCATAATTATGGTCTTTTGAAAAAGATTTGGATTAAATTTAAAGGACAATTATCAAACTTATTTATTCCAAATTCTATTATTTAATGTGATAATCTATAATTAATTAAAATTCATTTAATCCTTGAAAAATCACTTATTTTTAGTTTAACAAATTACTTTTATCTACTAATATATTTTACAAAAAAATTATTCTCATAATTATTAAAAATGTTTTAAACTATATAAAAAAACTATAAAACTTTATAATAATTTTTTATTATTATTATTATCTATTCTATATTTTTAAATTATAAAAATTTTAAAAATGTTTTAAGTAATTCATTTTTTAAAACCTAATAATGTAAAAGGATTTTTTGTAATAACATATGAATTTTAAGTTTTGGTATGGCACAAAATAACTAAAGATATCAAAAAATTAAAATTAAAATTAAAATCAAAAATCATATGGCTACAATAGCTTTAGTTAAAGGGGGTCTTTTTACTTCAAAGACAAGATGAGAGGCTGCAACTTTTAAATCTTTTAATTAGTTGAATTCAACAAGCTCAATTAGTTAGATTTATACTTAAGAAAAATTAGTTCAAGAGGTTGTGAAAGAAAAAGTTAAGGTAGAATGTATTCTTTTTCGCATAGCAAAAACAATATTGACTCAAAGGATTTTAGGTGGGCTAAGAGGTGGTTTTAAAAAGCTTTGAAAAGCTACATGAAAAATCACTAAAAATCACCATAAAATTTTAAAATATTAAAAAAAAAAAAAAAAAAAAAAAACTCATTTTTTTTACACTTCTTATAATTGTTAGAATCAAGATATCAGTTCATAAACCTAGATTTCTAATGAAATAATATTTTGATTTGTTTTAAGTCCTCTTTTCACTTTATACTATATCTAAAGGTCTAGGCATCTAAAGAAGAGTTTCTTTTCACTGAGAGTTTCTTTTCAATAAGTGTAAAACCTTGGTAAGGACTTAGGATTCCAAAGCGGGCTTTTCAGTACAAAGATCTCCAAAACATGTTTTTTCTTCATATATACTTTAACAAAAATTTGACCAAAAAATCCTACAATGGTATGTTTTTCTAAATGTGTTGTACAGGTTTTAATGTTGTCACAGAATTTATTTAAATGTATTCCAAAAAAGTTGAATATTGTTGAATTATTTACTTAGGAATTGCTACAGTCAAACTCTCCTGTTGTCAGAAATTACCAAACAGCAGAAATAATACTGTTTGTTGACGTGAAAAAAAATTTACATGTATAGTGTGTGATGATACAGTTACTTTAAATATTATTGATGCAGTGGATGAGATAACAACTATTGATTTGCTATGGGGTATTAAGAATTACAATAAATGATGTGTAACGTATGTTGTACTCTTTCAATCTGAAGAGGTATTTGATGAAAATTATGTCCTCTGATGTTGTTTTAATTGCTAATACGCAGCATTGATGCGGAATATCGTCTTCGTCACTATATATTTTGGGAGTACATGTGTGTCAGGATTGTGTACCTATGTTTTTTTAAGATTAACACCGCAAGTGAAGAAGGCAAAGAAAACAGAATCACACCACTTCATTTCTAAGACAGAAAGAGATGAGATATGTACGACACAATAATTCATTACATGTTGCGAAGTTGTTGATCTTAGAAAGATTAACTGAGATCTGGGTCCATAGTTGCAAATGAACTCCAGAAATTCAAATTTAACAAACAGGAGAGATATTCATACATTACAGAAGGAAAATCATCTGAAATCAACTCCAGATTAATTGAAAGGTTCTATTAACACTACACTACAGTGCTCGAAATACGGGAAGGTGAGGCTCTACACGGTTGCCCTAGTCACCAATCTTCCCTGCAGTCAGGGGCACAGTCATCAGAATGAAGCAACTGAATTTCGTGAAAAAGCGCAGAAACCATTCCGAAGAGTGGGCACAGTGCACGTACTTTAATGCAACTTTCTGTCATGTTTTACTATCAAGCTTCGAGAGAGTTAACTAAATATTTGTGACCTGACACTAGTCCAGTTCTTTTAAAATGTACTGAGTGGGTTAAAGGACTTGTTGTAGGGGGACTCCAAACGCTTGGGAGTTCGACATCAGAACTCGTGATACTTGTGGACTCTCTTTTAAGTAGAGAATCCAACTTATCATACTCGAAGCTAGAATAGGTTCAGAGTTTACCATGAGCTCGGTAAACTAATACCCACAACAGTTGTATTAGATAATCTTTTGTGACTGATTAAGTCGTTCAGGAATTCCCAACAGAGGTACCAAAAATTTCAGCAGAAGTTATACATAGCCCCTGCCCTGGTCGAAGGCACATGCCGCGAATTCACCACGATCTGACATCCAGTTGACTAGTAAGAGCTTGAAGCCAAAGTTTCAGGGGGGGACACTTACGAGATTTCAAGGCAGTTTAGTCGGCAAATTCCTCAGGTGTTGTAGACGCGGCACTCATCGGCTTCGGGGTTGTCATTGCAGTACTTATCGATAGGATCCTCGGTCTTGGCCTGCTCCTTGGCAGCAGCCTCCACCTCGTCCCACGCGGCCGCGCACTCCTCCGACTGGTTGTCACCCGCGCAAACCTCCTGCGCGTCCTCGATCTTCGTCGCCACCTTGTCGTCAGTGTTGATCGCGGGGCCTGACGACCCAGTGGGCGTGGCCATGCACACAAGCCTCAGCCGCGGTGCGGCGCGAGTGGTGGTCCAGGCACCCTGAGCTTGGACGCGGGGGAAGGAGACCTGGGGAGTGAGCAAGGAGGCGGCGAGCTGCGCGCTCGGTGCAGCCACGGTAAGCATCGCTGCAGCAGCCATTACCGAAACTGATACACAGACGCACACTGTTCGGAAAAACTAGAATCAGATAATGACGAGATCTACGAGGGCTCTCACTAAGTAGGAATCGGAGAGCTGGGTTCGGCGTCTAGGGAGGAATCAGTGCAAGTGGTGGGTGGTGGCATGGCATCCACCAGATAAGGTGGATCGATCCGCGACCAAACGATCATCGGAGACGACACCGGGTGCTTTTTTCCTTTTCCGCGACGCCGGCACTGCGAGTCACTTTGCGTGAGCTGCCGCGTGGGTGCATGCGCGTCTGTAATTGGGCAGTGGGAAGCCTCTTTCTTATGAGCGATATTTTGATTTCCTTTTGTTTTTCAACAGATATTTCACATTTTGTATCTGTTCACTTTTGGTGAGAACAGCGACATTGTAATATCAAGGATAGTAACATGTTTGAGATTCTTCATTGTGAAGGTGGATTTGCACGTTGCTTGAACATTCTGTAATGAGTTACTACTCTTCAGTTTTTGTTGCATGAGGAGGGTTTGTAGTGGAACTGTTTGAGGTAGTTGATCAAATGCATTCAGTTGCAGTGATGTCTTAAAGATGTGTTTTTTTGTGGTGCAAAATTCAAGTTGATATTCTTTCAAGATTTGGAATGATTGAATATTAATGAAAAGGTCAGGCTTTATAATAATGTTAATTTTTAGATGGATCTCTTGCAAAAAGAAAAAAGAAATTTTAAGTGTAAAAATCATGTTGAAAGTTTGTGCAACAACCAATAACATTTGAATCATGCAACAAAAGTACAGTTTTTTTTATTTGTGTAAACTTCAAAATTCTAATAACTATCAATTAATACCAAGTAAAATTTTGCCTCACAAATAAATCATTATTATTTATAAAATACAACATGATGTAAGGAAATTATTTTAATGTTTCAAAACATTTGATTTGGTATCAAATGTAACAATATTAGATATGATTTTTTAAAAAATATTATATGATTTTAATTTGATATTTCCATAGTTTTATAGAAAATGCCATTACTATTTTGAATACACAATCAAAATTAATATATATATATATATATATATATATATATATGTGTGTGTGTGTGTGTGTGTGTGTGTGAATTACTACTTTACAACTTAAACATCTTAAAATAAATAAAAATCAAAATCAAATTACAATAAAAGATTGTGTGGCTAGAGTTTTGTCTAATATTATTTTGTAATTGTCTTGTGTTATCATCTAAACCGTTTTCTTGTTTTAGAATAAAAATTTATTTAGAATCTAAAGATTATGCAATTTCTATCTTTGCATTTTTAGACCTTCTACTTGTTTTCTACATATAGGAACCATTAACATTAAAAAAATGTATTTGGAAAAAAAGAAAAAGAAGAAGATTACATTTATACTTGCACAAGTCACAAATTGTAAATTTTTATCAGAATTTAATATTTCAAATCTTTTATACAAAACAATTTTCATAGAGTCATAATAATACAATAATATTAATTGTTATTTTTTTGGCTTTTTCCTATTTTTTCGTTTAGATTTACTATAACTATAGGAAATATAATGTTCAAATAGGTTTTTGTAATGTTTTTATTTTTATTTTATTTTTTATATTTGATAAAAAAAACCAAATTAAAAAACATATTTTAGGTTTAAAAAGTCAAATCTTTACTTGCAAATTTAGAGAATTTGTACAAGTTGCAAAAATAAATATGTGAAATAAATAAATGAAACATTCATGCAACATCAAACTTCCAACAATTTTTTTATATAATATAAAGATTATGGAAATGTATTTGAGAAGTCAAGTATGGATTTCCTATTTAACTATTAACTTTATAATTAAGAAATATTTTTTTAAGAAAGAGACCAACTTCCATTTGAATCAATTTACAAGTTGTTAAAAGCTTAGTGACTTTCAAATAAAATACATAGATAAAGATTTTGAAAATAATGTTGTTTGTCATATAAAGTCTTAAGCAAGTATATCAATCTTCTTTGCTAAGAAATAAAATAAATCTTCAAAAATCATGGTAAATAATATTATGTTCAAAAATTATTTACAGATTGTTTTTATTAATTGTCTTTGATATTTGAACTAATCGGCTAGTGAAATAAAACTCAGATATTTGCCAAAATTGATCTATGAAAAGCACACAATCTACAAAGCATCTAGAAAAGAAATAAATAGTTAATGGTGTTTTTTTTAACTAGGTATAAACATTGTTCATTTTGTTCAAACCAATATTTATGTCAAAAATACAAAAGAGCATAAATAGTATATATATCTTGTATTATAAAAAAATAAAACAAAAGATTATACTTCTTTGAGTTTAGTAAAATTTGCAATATCTGAAAAAAAGATTTCAATAACCCACTGTTGGCTCAAATAAAAAATGAAAAAATATGCACACGCAACCTCAAAAAACAGAGACAAAAATAAAAATAAAAAACAAACAAAAACAAACACACAGATATTCTTAAGAAAACAAGCCACAATTTTCAAAAAGTGAAAATAAGTCTTGCAATGCACTTAAAATTTGTGTATAAACTAAATAACTTCAGAGAGAGATGAGTAACACTCGTGCTATTAAAACAAACACTCATGTGCACAAGTAGACGTCATGATTCAATGGCAATCTTCACTACGGTACTAGTACTGCGACGCTGAATTAAGTAGTGTTTTTATGGTGCAAGAAAAACTAAAGGATTGTAGACTCTCATACAGAACTCCCAATTGAAAAAACTTGAAGCAACAATGACCGAAACAAGCAACCGTAATGCAGAAACTTTAACAGTAATCTCCACTACACCAATTCAGGTAGTGGACTTGGAACCAGGATCGAAACTTTAAAATAACAAGGTGTATGCTTCCAATACTTCCAAGTTCAAGAAGATGCTTCATCAGAGGGTCTAGGAATTACAAGAAACTAAATCGACCTTAGTAAGTTCAGATCAAATTCTCCTTGAAAAGCTGCTTGAGCAATAACACAAAACAGCAAACTGTATCTGAACGCATTCCTTTTCTCGAAGTCCAATGTGCAATCCTCCCACGAAGGGACTGAGGGCTACTAGCTCGACCCAAAACCCTAGATCTAGCCGTCAGGATACTAGTTTCCTATCTAATTTTATATATGAAATTTCCAGCAACCCAAGGACTTTCCTCAGTGTCAATATAAAGATAACATGGTTTCATAGGCACTTGGAGTAGGGTATCTGTGTTTGAACTGTTAAGACCTCAGCATAGCACTTAGTACGTTAAGTAGTGCAGAACTTTAAAATCACGTTAGTTAGCATTCATGGAATATTTTAGTGTAATGAGATTCCTAATGTCCACGAGACTGCTATTTCGACCTGAAGGAATCAAGTACAAGAGTGACATCTGGCAGTGACAAAGTAGCTATTGAAACATAGAAAGCATACTCCACACAAGTAAGTTAGGACCAGCAAGGTTGCACTATAACAAATAGAGTGTGGTATGAGATAATTCTTCCCATGCCAACCCTTTCCTTATATACTGGTACCAAGGTACCAAAAGCTACAATCCATATGGGATATCTCCTAGGACCAGCCCTCCCCTTGTACTCTAATGTACTATAGACCAGCACCCTACCTTATGGGATATCCTTAACAACACTTGTACTCTAATGACCATTAGCAACTACTTAAAGAGTTCTATTCTCAACACTCCCACTTTGCTATTGGTCAATTAGCTATCAATCCTAATGCCTTACTCAACTTGTTGTGTCCTTCTCTAACTAAGGCTTTTGTCAACAAATCAGCCATCATGTCTTTGGTTTCACAATACATCATATCAATAACCTCCATCTCTATCTTCTCTCTTATGAAATGATGCTCAATATCAATGTACTTAGTTCTTGCATGATGCTTTGGATTCTTTCCAAAAGCAAGACATCCTTGATTGTCACACCTCAATGGAGTAGCTTCAAATTGCACAAGTCCAATATCTTCCAATAACAACCTCAACCAAATTGCCTCCATTGCTTTATGACTTGCTGCCAAATACTCCGCCCCTATTGTGGACCTTGCAATGTTTGGTTGTCTATTGCTATTCAAAGATATGGCTCCCACTCAAACAAAGAATACATAGCCCATTGTTGACCTTCAATCGTTTACATCTCTCTTAGTTCTAAGCACCCACTTACATCCAATTGTTGTGGAAAGATGTGGTTCTTTCACCATTCACCTTGTGGTCTTCTCTCACGTGTTGGATATCTTCTTTCATGCAAAGAAGATGAGCCTTCTTGCACCTCTTGCTGCCTTGTATGACTCATGGAGTGCTTTCTCTTACTCATTTGTTGGTATTCTTCATCTTCATTCTCTTCATTGTCCTTGTTGTATCTTGCTGGAATTGAAGTCTTCATAGTATTGGGCTCTTCTATCATGGCATCTTCCTCTTCTTCTTCACTTTGAGAATGCTCTTCTTCATCTTCTTGTTTGTTTGCTAGAATTGAAGATGTGTCCACAAACACACCACTACTCCCACTTGGACACATCTCTCACTTTTCACTACCACTCATAGATGGTGTCCTCATGGATCCACAAACATTCGAATGCACAAGCTCCAGCAATTGGTTTGCTCTTGTTGAAACTCCTCTAGGAAATGGTGTCCTATGTTGTTTGCCTTGAATGCATCCCTCACAAGCAAGATTCATCGTAGAATGGCCAAGGTCTATGCCATTTACCTTGGATTGAAGCCCTTTCATGCTTTTGGCATTCAAATGCCCAAGTCTTTGATGCCAAATGCCCATCTTCTCTTCATTTGATGGAAATTCAGCAAAGGCAGCAACCTCCACTCCATTGATCCTCTTGCAATTGATAATATAGAGATTGCCATTCCTAGTCCCTTTTGCTACTTCTTTGCCTTCCATGGTTCTCACAAAACATCCATTCATATTAAATTGCACTTTGTATCCATGAGTTACAAGTTTACTCACCGAAAGGAGGTTCTTCTTCATCTTTGGCACATGCAACACATCCTTGAGAGTGATTCTCTTGCTTATGCCCTTCACCACCACCTCCACTACAATGGTGCCTATTCCAATGGCTTGTACCATACAATTATCACCTAACCAAACGTTGGTTGCTTGAATTGGTTGATAAGTGTTAAATGAACACTTGTATGGAGTCATGTGTTTGGTACATCCGGAATCCACAATCCATTTGCTCATATCAAACATGGAAGGAGTTTGTTTTGCCATGAATGCAAAGTCTTCACCTCCATGATCATGAAAAGCATTGTTGGCATTCTCTCTTTCTCCTCTCTTTGCCTTGAAACAATTTCTAGCAAAATGGCCTGGTTTTCTACAAATGTAACAAGTTTTAGGAGGATAACGTTGAAAAGGGGCACTTGCCTTACTTGGTCTTGTAAATAGTGCTGATTGCTCCCCAATAGACTCCTTTTGCTTTCTTTTGGTCACTTCATGGGCTAGTCTTGCCGTGACATAGTCCAAAATGAGGTCTTTCTTTGAAATGGACTCCAATGCCACAATGAGGGAGGAATAGGAGTCCGGAAGGCTTGAGAGCAATGTCATCACAACATCTTCTTCAAGTAAAGGCTTGTCAACAACAGCAAGTTGGTTTGCAAGTGCCTTTACCTTATTTACATGAGCCATGAGATCTTCACCTTCTTCCATCTTCACGGTGAAGAACTTTTGCCTTGACCATAGCACATTGGAAAGATTCCTACTCTCATAGACATTGCAAAGAGTCTTCCATGCATCTGCTGCTCCTTTGCAAGAAATGACATGAGCAAAGTTGGTTTCATCTAAGTTGGTGGCAATTATGCCAAAAGCCTTCTTCTCTCGTCTTTTGAAGTCCTTTTGCTCCTTCATGCTTGCCTCTAATCCAGGTGCCTCTTCCTCCTCACATACTATCTCCCAAAGATCCAATGATGCCAAAAGTAGCTCCATTTTGGCCTTCCAGTGGTGAAAGTTGTCACCTCTAAACTTTTCTACCATTCTTAAGCTATCACTCTCAAAAGATGCCATCTCAAGCTACAAGTAGGTCCAAAAATCTCTTGATTTGGAGTTGTAATGCAAAAGATATGACTACTCAAAGATTGCTGAACTACAAACTCAGAATTCGCTGTTTTGCAACTTTTTGCATACTTTGAGTCCAAATCACGTCTAAATGGTGGGAAATGCTATGTCATGTAATTCTATGGCTTTCAAACATCTCCCTCACATCATCTCACTCAAAATGACTCAATTTCTCATAAAACTCTCAAATACTAGTGTTACTTCAGCAAAGACACTATCAAGGTCTTGCACTAACCTCATACACTCACAAATCCAGGAGTAATGACTTCAACAAAATACTAGTAATACTATACCATAAGATCTCAACCACCAAACAAACAACAAAGAAAATAAAATGCAAGAACAATTTACTTGGTAAGAGAATGTGGGCCCATAACTTATTGAAACATAGAAAGCATACTCTACACAAGTAAGTTAGGACCAGCAAGATTGCACTATAACAAATAGAGTGTGGTATGAGATAATTCTTCCCATGCCAACCCTTTCCTTATATACTGGTACCAAGGTACCAAAAGCTACAATCCATATGGAATATCTCCTAGGACCAGCCCTCCCCTTGTACTCTAATGTACTATAGACCAGCACCCTACCTTATGGGATATCCTTAACAACACTTGTACTCTAATGACCATTAGCAACTACTTAAAGAGTTCTATTCTCAACAGTAGCGACTGGATAACTACTTCGAATACTGAAGAGATCCACCGAGGAGAGTTCCAGCCATGACCAAAAAAGCGCCACCTTGTAAATAGCAGCGTCCTGCCTCCTCATCCACACGGACAAGGAATTTAGCTCCCCGTTCTGATGCCTGCTCACAACCGAAGCATGTTTTAATAATTGCAACCCATAAAAATATTCTCTTGGATAGATTAGTCACTCTCATCAAACCCAGTAAAGTTCAGATAACCACCTCTAAGCATCGTCTTTAACAAGTAAATCTCTAAAATGAGGATGGACAGAAAAAGTTTGAAACGAAAAACTAAATAAGCTACTTTCTTGAGACAAATCAGCAGAAAGTAACACATAAGAGCAAGGTACTAACTTGGTATGCATTCAATTCAGTTTTTTTCAATTTGGATGACCAGTACGGTCCCAGAGCGCAATGTGCACTTCCCGTTGCTGGATCCTGCTTGAAAAATCCGATCATTGCTAGATTTGAGTACTCAAAGAATGCAAATTTTAGAAAATCAAATTTGAATCTGACAACAGAAATTCACAAACTAAACATCGAAAATTTCCAGTACCTAACCCTAGAGCCACCCATCACATCATCGTAAACCAAAAAGACTCCACCAATCTACAAGGCGTGCTCAAATAAATAATTACTCATTTATCTCCCTGAAAAAATAGAAGATGCCTTCTAGATGTAACCAAGAAGAATAGTAAAGCATTACTGATGAAGCTGCAACCTCATGTGCAATAAACTAAAGTGATTCTTTTGCATATATTAGAATAAATAGGTGCTCAAAACCCGCGCCGTCATAATCTGTACCTCATTAATTCCCATTTTAGGACAGAAGAAGCGCGATATGAAGTCATACTCAGTATTTGCAGCTGCCAAGGCTGTAACTATTACACCACCGCGACCAGGGAAGTCCACCATCTTTTCAAAGTTGGGGTTCAAATTCTCTACATCCTCACTGGATTGCAGCTCTACCTAGACAATCGAACAGGCACAACATTAAGCCAATCCAGTAGTAATCCTAACAAAAAAGCACGCGTGATGCTTACATTTCGAGCAATACAAAACAATGAAGCCCCAATGAAGGGCACATCAACACCAACTGAATAATAGAAGTGTGGGATTCTCACCAGATAATCACCCACGTCACTTCTCCCAACCCATCTGATCTCGACCCCACCTAAAGCCTCCGAAAGAAGGGACGAGTCACTGCAGGCGGTAGGCGGTGACGAAGGAAAATCTAGTTCAACCACGCCCTTGTCAGATGGTTGTCTTCTCTTGGCAGGTTTAGGGTCTCTTTCGTCTGGTGGTGGTCCATCAAACTCCTGATAACCACTAACCTTGTTCGCTTTCAGGATACCTGACTTTGTGTGAAACACTACTGTATTTCCGTCCACTATCCCTGATGAGAATAATAAATGTGCAGATGCCAATGTTGCATGACCACAAAGGTCAACCTACACGAAATTTCATAATCATCAGTGTCCTTCCCACTTTTAAATAGACCACAATATGTGATGTAACAGTCAAAGAAAACACCACTGACCATATTGCAAAAGGATATAAATAATAAAAGCACTGTAACAATTACATGAACGCTTACCTCTCGAAGTACTCCTATTAAGGATCGCAATTGCTTGTCTAGAGGAAAAAGAGGAATACCAGCAGCATTTTAATAACCAAAAGGAACAAAACGCCCAGTCATAGAAGGGAGTACCTCAGTCATCGGCGTAAACCAGCGTAAATCGAACTCATTGTCAGCAGGTGCTGGAGTGAACGATTTCACAGCTTTAAGCTTTTTGCCGCTTTCATCTACTTGCACTAGGCCTTTGCGCTTCTTCGGTTTCTTATCGTCGCTCGGGGGATTAATTCTCTTCACCAGAAATGCAGTCTCGGCAAGGTTGAACTCACGTGCAACCACTTGCATCCATTTGTCGCTCCTTGGATAAGGTAGGTAGCATACAGCTGCTGGATTTCCAGAAAAGGGCCGATCTGCAAATGCATTGATCTGTCGATTCATCACCAGTGTTCAAGACTCATGAGCTTGGGTACCAATTTATGCTCCGATTGCACAGTATTTGAAAAAGTGCACTAAGGAAGCAAATCACATCAGCCAAGAACGTATTCTCGAGGTTTTATGTCTAGGGCAAGCAATGTTCTTAGGGAGATAAATAGATACAATGCACCCTTGGTCTGCACCTACTGAAACCCGATATTCTTTGGGACTTCGTCACTCGAATTTGTGCTCTAACGCATCTCTTCCTATGGCCACTTCGCATCACCGTCCTCTACGATCATCTTTACATTGATTCCCACGCTCAGAGAGTACAAAAACGAAGTTTAAACCCTAAATCCCGTGCTTAAACCTTCGGAAGACTGACTATGCGTAAATTGACTGGAATTGTTGAACGCTTCACCTGAGCATAATCGACTTCATCAAACAGCTCCTCAACGTCCACCCTCGCTTCCAAATGATACTTCTGAGCCACTTTCTCTAACATCATCTGCTCACGAATCCGCAGGGCTACCTCCTCCGATTCTTCCACGGGCGAGGTCGATTCAAGGGAACTCATCACAAGCCCTCGCCTCCTGTCACTTCCGGCTCGTCGAGGTGTGGCATTGACGGTAAACGAGACACATTCTTGTTGAGAATTAGCAGCAAGAGGCAATGCTTTCGTGCCGCGAACGGTAGAAGAAGAAGAAGATAAACAGGGATTGAATGAGAGCTTGGTACACAGGCAGGCTGCCATGGCGATGCGCCACTTTCAGCTCCCAAAATCTCAATCTCCTGTGCCGACAGGCAGTGCCAGGATGAGGGAATTGATGGAGAGAGAGGAGAGGCCTGTAGAGATCAAAATCAGTCTCACTGAGCTCGCAATCGTCGCAACAAGAGAGACTGCGCCTTCGAAACGGGTCACACGTTCAACATCATCGCGAACTGGCGGAAGAACCGACGCGAGAATGAAACAATACTAACGAATGTGTCCTCGTCATCTTTGGATGACTTTTTTGGACCAAGAATTTTGATGAGAAATTTTAAATTTTAAGGGAAAATATTGTATATACCCTTGAAATATGTTGAAATATCCCTTGTATTCTTGATAATGGCAAATATATCCCATACTTTTGTAACAATTGCAAATCTACCCTTAAACTTGATAAAGTATATCATAATTTCAATTATAAACGAATCTAGGGCCCAAATTGCATGTTGCATAGATTTTGGCGTGACACTTTTTGGCACAATTTGAGCCCATTACAAACCAGATGCCAACATTGCCACCACTATGGCAACACTTCCAATAGCTCTTTATAGTATGAGCTTGCTTACTCTGAGGCCAAAGGCAAAGTGCAATATATACAAAAATATGTAATTTTTTTTGTAAGAATGCTTATATATATATATATATATATCAATTATGAGTTCAATCTACACAATATAATATATGTAGATAAATTTATTTAAATAGTTTCTTTTATTTAAAAAAAATCAAATTTAATCAAATCATTTTTTTTAATACTTATAGGTTTTAATACCTAATAATAAAGTTTCAAATTAATTTTCAAATATTCACTTAAGATTATTTTATGAGAAAAACTACTACAAGTTATAATTATAAGGATGTATACTAATGTTTGGGTCTTGAAGACTTTTCTTACTTTGTAATTAAAGCATATAAATGCTTTAATGACTATCAATGATATACAATATAATAATTGGTGCTTGTTCTAAATTAATCTATGAACATTTGTTTCTTAAATAAATAGAAGACGTTTGTAGGAAAAATCCGACCATTATTATTTATCAAAGATTTTCTTTTGAAATTGTAGGATATTTGAACCTTATTGAAACATTAAAGTTCTTTTAAGAGTGTTTGTATCTGCTATCTCACATTTATAGTGTGAGTGGTTGATATTGCTCTAACAAACATGTTTGCTTCATGGATGGCACTAACTTATGTTTATTGTAATGGCCTACCTTAGCATGCTTCTCTAATGTTTTAGCTAATATATAGAGCCTTAGTATTTCTCTACATAATATAGAATTGGATTTCATAGGATTTGGGAGGACTATTGCGATCATTGCTAAAAGTCAATGTTTGTATGGGTGATTTGGGTTTTTTTTGCAATAAAGTTAAGGCTTGCTTTGTTATTATCAAATAAAGTTAAGTCCAGCTTTGCTATTATCAAATAATCAATCGTCACATCATTGAGAAGTCATCATATTGAACAAAAAACAAATGTAATGCAGATGTATAGAAACTCCATGTTAAGTATCTTCAAATGCCATAATAATCAACAAAAGACAATTGGGATACATTTTCTTTGGTTCAAGTATACACTTTCTTTTGAAGCATGTTCTTATACACAAAATTCAACACCTCTTTAATTCAAAGTCATGCGTACATGTAGTTCTCTATTTGTGAACAACTTTATCTCTTTTGTACTTCTATTGTAACACCTTTCTCTTCATCTACTTCAAGTATTGGATTAGCTTTATATGGTCTCCAAGTAACAATCTAGTTTTGCTTACATTGGCTTCTGGCTTGAACTGCCCACTAAAGATGCAATTCAAAAAGCTATGCATCCTTGGTAGGAAACAAAACATGAACTAAAAGAAGACAATTGCAATTGGTCGACTCTTTGCACTTTGCCCTTCGCCTTGGAATAAGTGAGCTTGTAACTTAAAGAATTATTAGAAGTATTGCCATGATAGCAACAGTGGCATCAACATCCAATTTGTAGGGGGCCCAACTAATACAAAAAAATGTCATGCTAAAATCTGCACAATATATGGTTTAAACCTCCGATTCACATAAAATAGGAATAAGATTATACCTTGTCAAGTTCAAAGATAGATTTATAATTATCAAAAAAGTTAAGGATATATTTGCTATTATCAAGAATACATGAGTATTCTTAATATTTCAACATATTTTAGAGACATATATAATATTTTTTTCAAATTTTAATTAGAATTTTAGGTGACCTATCTTAAGATAGGCTTTGAATCTGTAACTAAGCATTATATACATATATATAGATATAAATATATATATATATATATTTTCTTCTGTTTTTTAACAATTGGTTCTCAATGATGTATTCTTTACGATAGTGATTTTTGATTTAATAAATAAGGTAAATGTTCTTTGAAAAGAAACAATTTTTTGATAACATAATGCAGTCCTCATGGTATGCAAGGATGTTATTGAAACCTCAAAAGAAGTTGAATTAAATTATAACAAAGAAAATGATGTTGACTATTGTCAAAAAACATGTAAATATTTTTTTACATTTACCAGCATTGAGATGCCTCAGTTACAAAATCGTTGGTGTGATTCTGTTGGAAAATAATTAATGAATCTGTTGATTTATTTATTTTTAACAAAAGTTGTTCATTTTGTATGAAACATCATCAACATGCATCAACTGCTTTGAATCATGGAATAGAAAATGTTCAATCTTTGTTGCAAATTACCTTGTACAATTCTGAAATACAAATCAGCCACAAAATTGGTGATTTTTGCATAACATTAGAAATGCTTGTTAAAATACTAAATTTCCTCAGATTACTTTGTAAATTTTACTTTCAACTTAGGAAAAAGAAAATACCAATGTGCCAAATCAAAATAAATTCGGTTTTTGAGTTCAATACTCTCTCTCTATATATATATGAAACAATTAAGTAGTTGATAATTACAGTGGCTAGATACAAAAAAAATTCACAATCCATTTTTCTTATATTATTTAAATTATATCTAATTTATATCTAAGTTGTATAAATTGTATAAATTCATCACTTGTTCTTGAAAATGAAATGTTGTTTGAGCTAAAAAAAAAGGTGTATCTGAACATCAAATAAGGGACTGTCATTTAAACATTTCCAAAGTCACTTCAATAAAATTACAAGTAATAAGAATCTGAATTCAAAACAAAACAAAAACGAAGTCCACTGCAAAATCACAGTCTGATGTTGGACCCCTTTGAAATCTTGTAATTAACTAATTTCTGGGTTTTTGGGTTTTATTTATTTATTTTCTTGTATGTTTCAACCTCTGTCCCTTTTCTTGGTTTTTTCAGCGTATCTTTTCTTTCCTGCTTGAGCTAAAAAATATATTCGTATTATATTTTTTAAGAATAAGATAAACAAAGTGTCCAAAAACTATACTACAAGTTAAATGCAAATATTTAATATTGTAATACATGTAAGGCTTATCGTTTCAAAGTCCAAAACTACCGACTCAGTTTCGATGACGTGGCTGTTTGCAATTCGCGCACTTTTCTAAGACACGCGTCAGACGGGGACAGGTGGAGACCCGTACATCTGCTGCTGAGGTGGCGCCGAGGGGTTTCCGCCAACCCCGCGACGCGCCATCTGGAGAGGTCGGGAGGCGGGGGAGGGGGGGGTGTTGAGTGGTGAGCGATGCGCAATTGTGTTTCCGTCGATCTCTGTGGCGCGGAGCTCACCGCGGCGGTTGCCAACCTGCTCGCCTCTCCCCCATGAGGGGGGTGGGGATCAAACCCAGTGATAGTTAAGTCTTGTTATAATTTCGGGGATTACCAGCTGCCTCCGTTGCAGTTGTGGAAGCGAGAGAGTTTGTGATAGCCATGGCGAGAGCGTCTGTATGTTGTCCATCTCCCTCCACTCCCTATTTGCGTGCTTTTCAATTGCACAACAGTACGGTCAGTAGCCAACATTGCCGAGTCCTCCATGTGTGTGGAACACGCGGATTGGAACCTGTGGTGGTCAAAACTTCGGTGGTAGGTGGAAGGCAGAAGGTAATCAAATTGTGTTTCTCTCTGGTTTGTTCGAGTGCAGATTCTCGTCGGTTTTGTCCTCGCAGATCGAGTGCAAGTTCTTGGAACGGTAGGGTTAGAGGTCCTAGGGACAGCAAGGGGAGCAGAGGAAGGAGGGTGGGCAGTGGTATTTCAGAACACCTCACAGATGCAGAGGAATCTGATGAAGACGCCCAAGTTTCCACCAGTGGGGCCTCCGTAGACACGAAGCCACTGGAATGGATCCAGCGAGCCATGTGCTTCGAGGAATCAGGCAAATACTTGGTTGGTCTTGCGCTTCCTGGACTGGCCCTACCTTTGGGGCTGGAGGGTCCTCAATCCTTTGCAGAGGCGCTTGGGGTATTAGCCGCAATTGTCACAGTTCACGAAGCGGGCCATTTCTTAGCTGCAAGATTGCAAGGCATCCACGTGACGCAGTTTGCAATAGGGTTTGGGCCACCAATTGCGAAGTTTAAGAGCAAGAATGTGGAGTATTCTTTGAGGGCTGTACCACTAGGGGGATATGTGGGGTTTCCAGACGACGACCCGGAGTCTGTTTACGAGCCTGATGACCCAGATTTGCTTAAGAACCGCTCCATCCCTGAGCGCGCCTTGGTAATCTCCGCGGGCGTCATAGCCAACATTATCTTCGCCTACACGGTTCTCTTTGGACAAGTTGTCACAGTAGGGTTGCTTGAACAGGAGTTTCTACCCGGAGTTGTAATACACGTAATAAATCCAAATTCAGCTGCTGCTCTTGCAGGAATTGAACCTGGGGACGTGGTAGCTGGAGTGAATGGCCACCTTCTTGGCACGCGTGAGGCATCTGTTCGCGACCTTCTTCAAACCATTAAGGATAATCCGCAGAAGAAGCTCAATTTTCTTGTAATCCGGAACGGGTCGGAGCTTGTCAACTTGGACGTCACACCAAACAGAGCCAAGGATGGTGGGGGCCGAATTGGAGTGCAGCTCTCAGCAAATTCAAAAACAAAGCGGGTGAAAGCTGCCAACTTGGCAGATGCATCCCTAAAAGCAACAAAAGAATTCACCAGATTACTGACAGTTGTCACGGATGGTCTTAAACAAGTGTTCTTGAATTTTGCGCAAACTGCCGACAAACTCTCTGGTCCGGTAGCCATATTGGCAGCGGGTGCAGAAGTAGCCCGAAACGACATTGCGGGGCTGTTTCAGTTTGCTGCTATTGTTAACATCAATTTAGCTGTCGTGAACCTGCTGCCCTTGCCGGCCCTGGATGGTGGTTATCTGTTTCTCATTGCTCTAGAGGCGCTGCGAGGGAAGAAGCTACCTGAAGGAGTGGAGCAGGGTATTATGTCGTCTGGTTTTTTGTTACTGTTGGCTGTGGGCATTGTTCTCATTGTCCGAGACACCTTAAACCTGGGCATTATGCAACCAATGTTGTAGGGTACTGTAGAATATTAGTAAGAGCAGGGCAACCCTGATTTTTATCTGTCTACAATTGTCTACATTGGCAACCATCGTTCAGTGAAACTCTTGTACATTGCTACCATTTTTCAAAACACAGTTTATATACAGGTGACTTATTGTATACCACCTTATAAGTAAACAATAGAACTCTGATTGTGCAGAACAATACGTAGAGTATCGCTCTAAGAAATTTTGGATTTTTTTCATTACTGGTGTGAAAAATATTTTCTCCCCATTTGAAATTATCGTTACAACCTCGTTGAATAACTTTATGTACCTAGCATCTTCAGAGATGAACCTTGACGAGTTTTTCAATCTTCAATTATATCGCTAGTGTCACCACGAAATAACCTACTCAAAACTTCTTCGTGATGCAGACATTAAAGAACATCCTGTGTGATGCTTTCTCTAGTGTAAAATAAAATATGCACATATATACACCAATAGATAAGACATTCCTGAATAGCCGCTTCGATCTTCATACTTGTTATGCACACATTGAAAATCAAATCCTCAGTCATGGACAATTGTATGCACCAACTCCATGGATGGCCGCTCCCCAGAATCTTCGGTTATGGACTCTGCTGATCACATCAAAGGAAGAGTTATTAGAGAAGTGAGAAATCTATCAAATTAGCCAAACAACTCCAAGATGGTATGCGTACAATAGAACCAAACTGGTGGAAAAAGAGCCATGGTTCTAGTGCTAAAGGAATGAGAATGCACCTGAAACACTGGACAGAGTCTCATTGCCAAGGACTGCATCTTTCACTTCTTGCATGGCTTCCATTACTTCCGCCTTTACTTCTTGTGCAGCTTCTTTCACACTCTTCATCAATCCCTTCCCTTCCTCATCTTCAAGATTCTTAGAACTGGCAGACTCCTGCTCTAAAACAACCATGCGGACATCCTGCATATTCTCATGATCCATGGTGTTGTGTTTGAGAACAGCCTCCTTTACTGTCTCTACAGAACGGGTGAAGATGTCACTCACACTCTCCATTACTATTTTCTTTCCGTGCTCATCATCACCCACATTGCCATTACCAGATTCCTGATCCTTCTCAACCACATTTGAGACTGAAGGAGAGGTTTCCACCACATCGTTGTGATTGCCAAGAACCACCCTCACAGTTTGCACAGACTGCAACACCATGTCTCCCACGGCTTTAATAATGGTTCTATGATCCTCCGCACCCTCCAGAACAGGGTCACTGTCATTGTTTCTGTACTGAATCAAGTCAGAGGGTTCTGTGAGGTGTTTTATGTTCAACTCCATCCTGTGACTAAAAACAGCGTCATCGGCATTATGGGCAGACTCTGCAGGATTCTCCTCCGCGGTTCGATCAACTCTATCCTTTCTGTCTTTTTCAGTGTTAACAATTGATGATCTCAAGTCGTCTTCGACAACGGCAGTCAGAACAGGATCACCCTGGCCAAACGGCTCTTCCATAGCCAAGGACAATGGTAAGCACCCACCGTCATAGTCGCTACTACGATCCATGCGTCCGATCACAGCTTCCTTCATGTTGTGTGCTGAGTGTTGTAGTATTTCTCCTACACTTTCAATAAGACCTTTCTCACTCAGAGTAGGAGATTGAGAAACTGGATCTTGCAATGGAGAATGCCCATTTTCCATGGGGTTTTCACTTTTGTTCTCTGTTCGATCAACCACGTTCTCTCGAAACTTTGAGAAATAATCCATGCTGCTGCTCAAGATGTGCACTTCTCTGCGGCTCCTTGTAAGGTACTAACCCTATCTTAGCTCTCAGAAACTTCCTTTGTGGCATCAATGCTATGGATGCAACTCGACACTCCCTCCTATAAGACGGAAAAAGACCAAGAGCAATGCAACACGCCAGGTCAATCACAAGAACCTTTCGAACGTTGAAACCACTTATATCGCGAAGGACAATGCAGAGGTGGCACCTACCTCTAAGAGCAGCAAACGAAAACACAAACAAAGTCCCTAGTTGATGTGGTACACAGGTAGGGAGTCTACCCCAACAGAGTGAACCAATCCTACAAAACTCCTTCACAGATCTCACAGCAACTTCGACACACAATGTCACCACTATAAATGCCCCTCGTCTACAGATAGAAGTTGGACACTCACGCCAAAACCCCAGTTACGAGGATTGCAGGCTTCTGAGTTAAAGCCAAAGATGCATATACACATCAAGCATTCCAACTCTCGACAAACGCAGCAACGGGGATCCAAATGGCAACCGTGTGTCCACCCAATATTCACAACTCCACACACCCTTCCCAAAAAACTGGAGCAAGGCAAAAAATAAAAAATGCGAATATCCAAATCTCTCACATCGGTGCGCAAAAGAATGCTGATGTATACTTAGAGACGGCGGTGACAGAACCGAGATCTGAACCGACTACTTATACTCGAGCTCAACATGGTGCTGCCAAATGCACACCAAGGTGGCAACATGGCACGTATGCCTTAGGCGGCAATAGCCGCTGCCGCGGTCGTCGGCCCGGCCATCCGGGGACGGCAGACAGCGGCACCTGGGCCAGGCCAACGGTTATAGAACCTCGTCACCAACATTTGTTCCCTCTTCTGCAAACGTCTACAGAACTCGTTCCCGTGGTCGTTCCCAGAAAGGAACGTGTTCGCCGTCACCGTTCCCTCGTCCTCCGCGTCACCATCGCTGATGCGCTGTCAAACTCCGCGAGACTGTTACTGGGGTAGATATTTTGGCAGCCTGCCACGTCGGATTGAGCGGTTGCTTGCCTGATGTTACCGATTATCCGCTGGACAGATCAGCTTGGACACCGACTGCCCATGCCTATGTAGATATTTTGTTGTGTGCACTGACTTGGTCTTCAAATGTGTGTATTACTACTTTAATGAACAAAATTTCTAGAGCTTCACGCTTGTTCTTGTGAATGCTTTGCTTTGAAGCTACAAAGACCCCACATGACGTGCTTTAAATTTACATTAGCATAATCTCTACAAGATTAAATATGGTCATCAAATGTTTGTTATTGTTGTTGTTATTATTTTAGGGAATTGTTAAATTGACCCATGCATTTACTAAATTTACCCACCTATCCTAACCATCATAAAAAAGTTCTCCACATCTGGATCTAGATTGGTTGGAAACCAATAAAAAGAAAATGGTTAGTTTTGCAATCAATGATGATGGGTGGATTGATTTAGTAAATGCCTGGGTTGGTTTAACAATTCCCTTATTTTAATGTGTTATTGAGTTTTGTTTCTTTCAATAAAAAATTATTTTTAAATTTTTGATAAATAATCCCAAAATAGAGTGTCATAGTAATATTAAGATGGATACATTTTAATATAAGATTAATCATTTGACTTAATTTATAAATTCAATAGGTTTTAATTTCTTGATTTTACATTGTGCTTTATTGATATAAGTAGTGATAGTATAACTTCACCTTCTTATTAAGGTTCCATTCAATTTGGATTTATTGCATAGAGAAAAATAATGTTTTTGCAAGAAAAAACTTTTGGAACACTTGTAAAAAGAAAAATAGTTTAAATTCAATTTAAGTTTGAAAATATTCTCATAGATTAGAGAGAAATATTTGCAAGCTATGTAATCTTGTACATACAAGATTAAATATGTAATATGAACTAATAATTTAAAACAAAATTTTCCTTTATGTCAGAAACACTTGTTAAATTTTGATAATTTTAACTTTTCATATTAAAATCAAAATTTTATGATTAATAATATACAAAATTTCTAAAAGATATTACAGAACATGAGAGAAATTATATTAAAGATTAGTTTTATTAAGATACAAAAGACTTATTAGGTAGAAGATATCTTCTATTATCTTCTATTATCTATTCAACCAAAAGTTATCATAATACTACACAATAATTTAAAACTAAAATTTTAAAAGTTTTTTTTATACCTTTTGGTTGATAATAGAAGCCTTATATTATAATTAAAAATTTTCATTTCTTACTAGGATTTATTTAGTTATTTATTTATTTATTTATTTTTTAGAATTTTAGGTGCTTACAACCTCAATGTGCTTTTTCTTTACATTTTTAGATTATAAACGAATATGCAGCAAGGTTGTCCAATGATACTTATATGTTTTTTTAAATACCAGAATAATTATTAATTATTTTATTGTATAATATATGTTTAAAATCAATCAATCAATATATTAGTCAATTTTTTTCTAATATACAAATTTCTTAAATTAAAGTTTATAAACGTTTTTGAAATGATGTTTTTAACTAATCTTTATTTTGATAAATTAATTTAAAAAATAAAAAAATAAAAAAAAACAATTGTAACCTACAGGTCCAAAATATATCTATTACATATATTAAATATATATTTTTTTTGGTTTAAGTTTTGTTTATTAGAATCATGTCTTTTAGCTTAAGAATTCCTATCATCCAAACTATTTACAAAAATCATAGAGTGTCTCAAAAGTTTAGGAATTCTCTTATATTAAAATTTCAAAAACTATTAAATATTATAAATTATTTTAGAAGATTCTATAAGCTTTTAGAGGACTATAAAATATTTTTTAGAAACATTTAGAAAACTATAGAAGAATCTAGAGGATTCTAAAAGTTTTTTAAAAATGGTACAAATAACTATAAGGATTCATGAGTTTTAAAAAGTTTTAGATCTTTGAGATTTTTTTTGATGCATTTTTATGATACTAAGTCTTATTTGGAGTGTTAGAGGGAATTTTAGGAGTTGAAGAGATTTAACTTTAGAATGTCTATATAGAGTCTTAAAATCTCCAACAATTTTTTTTTCTTTAATATAGTTTTTAAACTAACTATAATAGCTTTTACCAGTACAACTTGCATAGTATAATTCTTGATTTTTTTTTTAAAATATTAACATTTAGAAAAAGTATTACGAATTTCTAAAATTTTTAGAAGTTTTCACATAGTTTAAAATCTTTAGAATTATAATTTGAAAAAAAATATTACTAATCTCTTTTTGAGATTTATAAAGTAACTTTAAGTTGTAAATCAATATCCTATACCATGTAAATTGATATCTTTTGCTTCTTGTTTTTTAATTTTATGGTGTAAGTCTTCTAAGTATTATTTTAGTTTTTTTTAGAGTAGAAAATAACATCTTGTACACCAAATCTATGCAAAACCATTTTTCTATTGAGTTTTTTTTTCGAACCTTTTAAGAAAATGAACCATTATAGTAATTTATAAAACATAAATATCATATGTAATCTCAGATCAATTAGCACTAAAATTTTTATTAAAATAATATATTTTCAATTTTAGCAAGAACATTCTATTATCTTCCTTCAAATTATGTTTTTCATGATTAACCATATACATGTATAATATTTGATAAAGTATGTAGAAGTTTTTGTAGATTGTTGAAAAAAATTCAAATTATTTAGTTACAATTTAAAATGATTTGTACTAAGTAAGGAAGAGAAGTTATTTAAAATTCCTGACCCCTCCCTCAAGTCCAAACTTAGTCATCTACTGCATTCCAATACAAAAATTCAACAGCTTTTAAGTCAGAGTGTCGCTTTACACATGTTTCATTTCATTTATCAACAGCAAATGGGTAAGACCTCATTTGTTTCAAGAAGGAAAATACCAAAACAAAAACAAACAAACAAACAAACAAGAAAGGAATTCAAAGTTTGAGAGATCACAAGGTGTCGCAATAACATCCTGCCTCATGTCTTTCTAATGTTTCGATTCATGCTTTGATGCAAACTCCAAGACAGTGCAAACTGACATCTCAACAACTTCAATTCATGGCCAGTTGAAAGCTCCTCCTGGCCAGACTTGACAATCCGCTATCCTTGTCATGCTCGGTGCTCTAATCTCGACAAAGACAGTTCCTCAACTAAATAGTGCAAGTGTTGCCTGAAATCTTAAATGGAGATGTATGGACTTCGAAAGTTCACAACCTCACGCATAGACCCACTAATGGTTGAACCTGTGGACATCAGTGATTGTGGAAAGAGAGAGTCTATTCAGTTGTCTCTGAGAGGACTTATAATCAACCGCAACACTTGCACACTCATCCCACTGCGAAGTGCTATCCTCTGAACTCACAAGACAGTCGGGAGCAGACAGATTATGCTACACGTTGTTGAAATGAGGGACAAAGGTTTTACTAGACTCGGTCTTTTTGAGCGCGACTTTTTTTCTGATGTGCCGCACTAGCATGATGGACCCAACTACAACGAGTGTGACGATCACGCTGACAGTGACAACAGATGCAGTGTTCAACCTTTTGAAGCGGTGCTCACGTTTTTCTGCACATAACCAAATCCACCTCAAAAACAATTCAGCACTTTATTCCTAGCAAACAAAAAAAATACAACCAAATACTCTTGCTGAATTCTACTGCTACTTGAGAATTGCAGGCTTTTTTGTGGCTGTTCATTGTCAGTTGATTGTACTGAAGTGGAAAACTATGGAAACGATGGCGGAAGTGGTAAGATATAAACCCTGTGATAAATCTCTTAAAACATGAGTGAATTTGGCCTGACTTCTAATATGTGCTATGACAGATTCTGTATCCAATAATGCTTCTGGCATCGAGATTACCAAAATCAGACTCCGACGTACCTATAAGATAGGTGGGACAGATGCTGCAGAGGTCAGCATTGAGGTTGCATAGCTGGGGTCGCAGTATTGCTCGTTCTGGGCCTGGCTCTGCAAACTTTGAAAAGAAAGTGACCTTACAAAAACACGCTGGGGATTTTGACCACACAGCATCAACACTACTGCAGCATTCGGATGAGGGAGTATCGAGGGTGCCGTTCATGAATTCCGAACATGCACCCAAGTTAGCGTATGCCGTCGTGTTCGTGCAGGGATCTTTTTCAGGCACCGTGAGCTTTGTAATGATGTTGGTGCAGTTGTAATTCGGTGTAGCTGCTGGAGCTTGAGCGTCAACAACGAACAGGAACGTCACAGCTGATGTTAACATCACGAAAAACCTCATGGTCTGCATGCTGCCTTCAAATTCACCGAGAAGATCAAGTGAATAGATAATCACTGACAGCACTCGCCTCTTGAATCCTAGAGCAGCGATACCTCACCTGCAAATAACTCGCAAGTTAATCATCCTAGACGAAATCCGCCATCAAGGGAAAAACATATCCAAATTTGGTCCTAAAATCTACCGACAGGAAACTTGAATCGACCTATCTGAGAAGCAATGGAAATGTAAAATGAATGAGCGGCCTTGACGTCGCAGATGAGCACAGAAACTTTTACCGTGTATACTCAGTGGATCACCGAAGCTATGTAATTCATGCTCTAGACCTCTTTTCAAGCATACCATTTGCTTCTCAACTACCCGCTCGCTACACAGATCCTCAGTTTAGTTAAGACCCTCAAGTGCACTCTCTGACAGAAGTCAATACCGGTTAAAGGTGACCGTGAACATTCCTTCGGAACGTCAATCACGCTAGACTGAGTAAGCACCTTCTAGCTTGAGTTTCAATGTCCATGACTAGAGAGTAGATGAGCTCAACATGCTTTTCGGACACTAAGTACTTCAACTCACAACAAAAGTACTACATCAACTCCCTCTTTATTCTGCTTTACTTAGTGTCATCGAGTAACTGGCATAACCAATCGATTAATTCAAGCACAGCTGTGTACAAAACATGCCAACAAATTCATGGATGACCAAGCAATATCTCGTTGCACCACATGCAATTGAACACAGTGCTAAGCTTAGTACAGCAGATTTACAAGGAACAACAACTCTTGAAATGATCCTAACTCATCTCCGCATCTAGTTTGTCCTCAATACCTGTTAAATTGAAGACCATGGCAACGTCTCACTCTTGAGCGTGCAAAAAGTACACAGCTTCTGATTCGTGTAAGGCTACTCAAGTTGTATTAAGCTTCGAGTTTCCGCCACCCACTTCGACTCATGTGCGTCGGTCCAGATCGCCGTACCCATCTTGTCAGAATGATGATGATTCGGATTACTGAAGTTCTTCACATTGAAGAACTCTTCTTGTAGGCGACCTGCAATCCAAGAACACCGTGGCACCGGAAAGGCCTCGGAGAGCATCCGTTTGCGGCATATAGTTAGTCACAAGTGGAATCCTACAAAGCTGTAAGATTATCACAAGAGTAAAAAATTAGACATCGCAGTTGCTCTCACTCACAAATCTACAACTCAAAAAGCTTCCACCAAGTGCGGCGACAATCAAAGCTACCAACTATCAGGTTGAATTTCTGGTCTTGCACAATCTATTGATGAATATTAGGTTTTAAGAATGCAGCAGCCCTATGCTAGTTTGTTTTGTGGTTTAATGTATTCAAATACCAGCAGTAAATAAATTCTCATCACATTCTGACATCACCCTGGCAGGATTAAGAGGCGTAGACTTTCAATTCCCGACGGCTTTATGAAGATTGACAAAGAATCGCGTAAAGGACAGCAATGCTGCTAGCAAATTGACTGTACAGGCTGGCTCAGTCTTCCATACAGTTGAAACCTTCAGGGCAGATATTACCATAGCACGAGACAAAGAGTTATAATCTATTGCAGCATGTAGCACCTGACAGTACTGGATCATGGTAGGTGTCCTGTCCCGTTTGCTCCTCATGGGGTGTGGTCGACGTTTCGTTTCAGGACACTCATGATAACTTTTCATTCGATGTCTGCATGTTAGCATTTACAGTTCTCTCTGCCAAGGAACCATAAGTATCGGTCCCTCAGTTCCAAGCTCATTTATAATATTCAAAATCACCGATGCTCAAATTCCGGTTTCTTACAAGTGGCCAGGTGCTGCTCAGCCATCGTGTTCAATAACACAGTTCTCCTCACTTGAGCATGCCAATCTAGCTCTATCTGCTGGCATAACAGCAACTTCATATTTGAAATCAAGTAAGAACTGGGAATTACCTGGGAAGAGTCTCTTTCACGGCGAAGCGACCTGTCAGTGCACTCTGCACGTGATCTTCAGAGGTAATAGACAATAAGCATTAACAGCGTTTCTCCATCCTTGTGATTAGGTGAACTGTTTATTGATAAACTCTGATGGTATGGACTCTACCCATTTCTACAGGCTCTTACACTACCGAGACCTAGGATCCAAACTAACTCTTCAATTTCAAGACGCCAAGGAATCCAATGCTGGAATATATTTGTCAACTTCAGTACCAGGCTAAAGATTAGTCGTGATGAGAAGTTTATATAATACAATTTTCCACTGCAGTAATACAAGTTTCTATCGTAATGCAAATGAGGGCCGCCTAGACAAAAGGAAGAAAAAAAGAGTATGGGATGTTGAGCGAATATGCCCGGCAAATAGTCTAAAAGCATCCAAAAGACGATACAAAATGAAATTGGGAGGGAGCTGGTCGTTTCAATCTCTGAACAAGGAAGGAGCATCAGAATCATGCCATCCCAACGGGCGGGTAGCAACAGTGCTGTGTCTTTCAGTACTAAGACAAGAGGTTGTGCAGCAGAAACTGTGTATTTAGGCATCCCTTCTCCTTCAGTGTTCGATATCACAGTGGGAAATAAAATGGGTTTCGCAGGCTGGTGAATTAAATTATTGTTCGAAGAGCAAGAAGAACTTCAGTAAGAGAAGGTGATGCATGACTATTGTTTGGACAAATAAGTTTCCCACCGATCACTCGATTAGATAAAAACTAGTTTTCAGAGGAATCCTGAATATATTTGTGGGCTGTCAAATAGTCTGGCGGGGCTTGCAGATGACAGAAAGTCCTTCGACGGCTCTGCAACTTCTGGAAAGTTAACACTGCACCATGTCAAAAGCTTGGTGAAAAAAAGTTCAGAAATGATAGATATTCAAGTCTCATTCACAAAAATAAAGAGATCAAAACTGAACTGGGACTTCATCAGAGTGTTCATGTATTCCAAAGCAGTGGACTTGCAGGACCTTTCATTGGTACACATGTCGATTATTTCAGCACTGTTGGTCTAGTATGCATCCAAATCAGTCTACAGTAAGCATGGCCAGTTTCTCAAATCTTCTATGCTACCTGAGTTTAACCACTAAACTGTGCATTTTCTATCACATCACTATGTGTTTGTGTGTATATATGTGTACAAATATATATATATATATATGGCACAAACTGCATGGACCCGATGCATTGATAGAAGGGGTATGTGAACCATTTTAAGCTCTAATACCCATATTGTTGGTTGGGCTTTAAAAGACAAAAATTGGGATAATATTTGTAAAATTGAACTATTTAGTCAAGCTGCATCCAATATACAAATGATTGTAGAAAAATAGAATGACATCTTATATATATATATATAAATTATTATTGATTATTCAATAAATAAAGCATTCAATTTTAATTCTTTTTAGGTTTTTTTTTTTTTTTTTTTTTTTTTTTTTTGTATCTTTCTTTAAAATATGCATGTATTAAGTTAAATTATTTTATATGAAATTTTGTGTATATTCATTACTACTAATTTTTCTTTTTAAGGACTATAATATTTATTTCAATCTAGATGTTTTTATATATAGATATATTTCAATTATTGAAATAATTATGTAAAAATAAAAAATAAAATGAATTACCTTATAAAAGATATTATCTTAAAAAAAATTAGTAGTGGTCCAAATATTAGCTTTTGGAATATAGAAGGATCTATTTATAGATAAACCACCAAGTTAAGTGCCAAGAAATAAGATCAAAGGAATAAAATATCTACTAGGAAATATCTAAAGACTAGGTAAGAATATAAAGTATATACTACAAAATATCTTTATGACAAGTGAGATGCCAAAGGATCCTAGAGACGTAAAATATATGCTAAGGTATATCTTTGATATATATAAGGTGTTAAAAGATATACTTGGTATATATATTGATGAATATAAAAGTCAAAAGATAAAAGTTATCTTCTAAGGCAATAGCCACTAACTATAAGTAATTGGTGTTAGAAGTAAGATTTATCTTACTTTTCTTTGTGTACAACCTTGTTGATGCTATATATGGAAATTTTTAGCTTGTACTTTTTTAAAAGATTATGAATTCATTTATTTTTACTTGTGGATTTTAAAGTTCTATGAAGTCTTTATTATTATGAGAAATAGATCATATTATTATTGCTGATATTGGAATTTAGAATCTCTTGATTTTTAAAATTACATATTGTTGTAGATGTTGGATTATTCTTATTTGTTTTTAAGTAGATTTTTGAATTTGGAATTTATTTGACATCTTAAAGTGATGATTTAGAATACCATTCTTCTATTTTTTTTCATTGAATTAAATCTTTGGCAGAGTAACTTTGTGCTTTCATATGATAAACAAGCTTAAGATATTCAAAAGATTTGTTATAGTACTAAGAATTGATTTTTAAATATAAAAGTCATTGAAGAGTGGCAAATGTGATATGAAACGTTTATATAGTTCATAAGACTTATAAGAAGTCTTAAAAGTGAAGTTGAGAGTGATTTAAGAGTAAAATTACTAGTTAATTCGTAAAAAAAGGTATTTATAAGATTTTGAAGCATTCAGGTTTTTTTTGATATTCTTTAATATGTCTCTTTTTCAGATATGGCTTCAAATAAAGATGAAGGCTTAAGGATCATAATTCTTTTTAGAAAAGACAATTTTTATGATTACAAGAAGAAAATAGAACTTTTGTTGGTCTCTTTAGATTTTTGGAACATTGTAGATAAAAATAAAGAACTTCTAAGCCTCCGTGCTAATATGAAGGAGAAAAAGGGACTTCAAATAATGTAAAAAGAAGGCTTTTGGTATGATTTCTATCAATTCGGATGAAGCCAAATTTTTTGACATTATTACTTGTAATAAACTAATAGAAGCACAAAAGACTCTTTACAATAATTACAAGAGCAATAATCTTTCTAACATTCTATGAATAAGGAGAAAGTTCTTAATAATAAGGATGGAAGAAGATAATGTTCTTATAGCTCATGTCAACAAGGTAAAAACTCTTACAAATCAATTAATAATTATTGAGAAGCTGATAGATGATTATGACATTATTTTGACCTTATTTTTAAGCCTTTTGAAGTCTTATAATTATCTTATTATAGCGTTGAAGTCCATCAAAGTGAAAGAACTTATATTAGATTATATTATGATAAGACTTGTTTATAAAGTGATTAAAAAGAATAAATAAATAAAAGTTTGATATTTTTTTATAATAAGATAAAATAGGCATTCTAATTAATATAATAATATAAGAAGTAATGTAAAAAACTTGCTTCATTCATAAAAATTTATACCACTTTGCACAAAATTGCTATAAGTCGAAGAAAAGAACTAAAGGAAATATTAAAAATTCATGTGATGAATTTAAAGGAGATGATTATACATTCATGGCAAGAAAAAAGTACCTCGATGACTGCCATGTCAAAGGAGATTATTAATTTGGATGCTACCAAGTACATGACTTTATATAAGTATTCATTTGATACTTAAGAAGAAATTCTAGCAATAAGAATTTAGTTGAGAGACAATTGCATAGTACAAGCTATTGAAATTGGCTCTATTGTAGTATAAATTGTTGTAAAGGATCAAATCAAAAGGATTAGATTAAAAGATGTATCAAAAATAGAAAAAAAAAAAACCTTTTTTAGATGAGTAAATTTATATCAAATGATTTTAAAGTTTAATTTAATATAAATGGGTGTTTTGTGAAGACATTGAATGGACTTCATATTGCGAAAGACTTTAGAAATAGCAACTTCTACTTCATTAATTGTAAGAAGGCTAATGAAGTTGAAGTAGCAACATTTGTTATACTTTTATAAAATTAAGATAAATTTG